TAAATATAACGGTAAATTATACTGGATTATTCGAATTCCTTTGTTTCACTATTGTCTAGAGTGAAGTCATTTAAATTCGTGAAATAAAATTTGCCACTTTTAAACTATGATAGTCAAACAGACACAAAAGAAAACAATGCTTTTAGAGCGCATTTAGGTGTATTTAGTGTAATATCTATTTTACGGGTTTTTTCATAAGTTAAATATTTACTATAATCTATACTATATTGCTTATTTAGCACTATGTTGTTAATACTTGCTCATATAATGGTTTTAGCGTTTACACTCTATACACAATGTTTTTTACAAGACAAAATTTCTATGCGATTTTCTGATGAAAAAATATCTTTAGGCCTAAAAACAAGGTTGATCAGTTTCTGAATTAAAAATGATTCTATTTCTACCTTGAAATATTTCAAGGCACTACTTAGGCTAGCCCATTTACCAACTAAGGCATATTTAGGGCGCCATCGTTAGATTATACAACAGACATTGTAACCGGACGGAGATAAGAGCCGGAGGAGTAGCAGCTGCTGTAAAGCTATGATGTGCCTTGAGAGTCCCACATATGTACCAAATACGATGTGTTTCACTTGTCTTGATAATGTTATAAAATGCCTTTCTGCAATTGGTTGGTTAATATCGCCATGTGTGTTTGAAGGAAGCAGGCTTTTGTTTGAAGATTATGTCATGTTTAAGGCCATTTGGTAATTTGTGTTTTTTATTCACTCGGGATATTTGACAAGGCTTCACCTTTCGTGTCCTCGCTGTTGAAAATTTATAATCTTGGTAAGTATCATTTGAGATTGTGATGTAAATACATTTGCACAATTATATAGACTTATCTGAAAAACGCTAGAGTGAAGTAAAAAACAAAAAAAACAAACAAAAACAAAAAAAAACCTACACGTGAAATAGATATTACACTAATACACCTTAGTTCGCTCTAATTATATTGTTTTCTTTTGTGTCTATTTGAAGAGCTATCACACTACTTTTAATTTAAAAATTGTCACATTTTGTTGTTTAATGACTTTAATCTAAAAGCGTCAAAAAAGTCAACCAAATACTTAGCTGAGCGATAAACTAAGCGCGCAAAGCATGCATGGTCAAAATGTGCGGCACATTTATGCGCGGTTACAAGGCTGAACAAAGAACAAAACTGGCAAGAGCAAGTTTGTTTACTTGTGTTCGATGTATATTCATCCTTCTTCATAAAATTAACAGCACTTAGCCTGGAGCAAATCAAATCGACACGTCGCCATCTTGAACTTCGCCAAACGTGTTTTCCGTTAGGAATTAGGACAAGACCGTGGAGCTGTAGGCTCTTAATTATAAACACCAATAAACACCAATAATGGCCTACACTAAATTTAACAGTTTAAAATACAAACTTAAAAATATAACTATAACAAGATCATATCGTACTATATTGCACAAATCTTTGTATTTTTCTATATGAAATGTTGCAAATCATAGTTTCGAGGTAAATTTGTATAAATCCATTATTTGACGACCTATTGTCTGTCCAAGATTAGCTAAGAGTTCTGGGTAAACAGTTTGCATGACTTACGCGAATGCGTCATGAGACCCTCCTATCCCATTTCACCGCAATTCCSAGCCCCACAAGTTGCCGGAAACATTCATAAACGGCGTTCAAATATCAACAGCGTGTATGTAAAATGATATAGGGATTCGCTGTAAAAACACAGGGCGCACAAGGCAGATACCACACTGAGTATCACAACGTGTTCACATAAAATGGTCTAAAAATACTACCAACACACAATGGACTGTTAAAGTTTTAATGTATAAAAATAGAAAGTTCACTAGAATCGTCATTGAGCCCTGCTGAGAGAGAGAGAGTTTTGGCAAAAAAACACGTACAAAGCCTTACTTTAATACGACAAAAAGAGTCGACTCTAGCGATGAAAGTCAAAATTTGAAGAAAATATTCTAAGGTAAAAGCTTTTTCATCTTTTTTTATATATATATTGTGCAGAGAGACTTGATAATTAGGTTTTTTCTTAGCTGTTTATTTTAAATCCATCTTATTTGTGGGTCATCTGGAACGAGGGTATTTTTAACTACGGACTTTATGAATCCGGGGATCTTTGCGCTGTTATTCGAAGTTAGGCTTGAGCCATGAACCATAGTTACTAACTATGCATGAACTAAAAAAAAAACAGTCAGTAAACCTCTCTAGATGTTAACGTTTTTTAAATCCAATTTCAAGTTTGAGATTAAAACGTTTTTGAGAGAAAAGGCAGTTCAGCTTAGGTGAAATTCATCCTATCTAATTTTTACATAAGTGTGAAGTTTTCAGTCACAATGATAAATACTGTATATTTTTTTGACAATTAAAAAAAAATCGTCAAATTTCATAATTTTGTTATCTATTCAGGAGAATGTTCAGCGAGTATTTTATGAAAAACTATTAAACTTTTATGAAACTGGACWTCAATGGACTTAATTTTTGTTAATTAATGCTCAAATTTACTAAAACGTCGATTATGTTATGAGTCAAGGTCAAAGCTAAGTGAGATCATTTGTGAAAGGAAGCGGAATAATGCTCAAGTTTACTCAAACCGTCGATATTACGGTCATAAGGCGAGGTCAATGCTAAATGAGTTCAATAAAAAAAGGACTATTTTTATAGTTGACTCAACTAGAATGAAATTCGCGGCTATTGGCACTTCTGAAAGACTGCGTTGAAATTTCTATTATTAACAAAACTATAATTAGTAGGAAATTAAAAGCTAGATACAATCTTGCACTTATTTCCTATACTGAAAAAGACGGTTTCTTCCACGAGACTCACTTGACACAGTTTTTCCTAACAACACAACTTCGACAAACCTTCACATCTGAATACCTTCAAATACTTATCTACAAAGTCATACGAACCACGCTGAGTTTGAATAATGACTTTGCATCTAAAGCATTTTAACGGTTTTGTTGACATACGCGTTACGGCTTGTGAGTTTTACGTACGTACTTACAAACAGATGAAACTCGACAGCTGAGCGAAAAGCGTCTTCACATTTATCAACGTAAAGGTACGTTAGAACGCTCTAGGTTACGTAAAGTACACTTTTACGTACAATAAGGGTTTACGTAAGTAGTTTGTTCTTTATTGTAAAGTTTTAAAGAATTGAGCTATGTTTTAAAATCATAGTTGMTGCTTTAGGCAATGATGCGATGTGAAACAATGTCAACAATCGTTCTCAACAGCAAAATATATATATAACATTTTATGTAATATTTCCCTACCGCCTAAACATAACTATTTTTGCTCATTTTAATAATATAAAGGACTGAATATAAGAATTACATACAGATTCGTTTAGTTACTGCAAGACTCTCACTGAGGCAAGGACCRGTAACTTTTAAATTTGAACGCTTCAAATTTTTGGCGGTAAATCAAATTGCGCGCTTGATCAATGTCGTGAGCTAGATTGACAACACTACTAACAAATATAAACCTTCTCTACAAAAAAAGAATAAAAAAGTGTTTTTTTACCCTGAAAAGCCTACACGTGATTCAGGGGTCAATTTTAATCAAAAATTCAATTATTAAAAGTCTTATGATATATGATTATTAGGTTATTACTTTATATAAGATTTGCCCTGCAATAATGTGTGTTATAGAACAAAAACAGCTAGTTGTGTGTTTCAACATTTTAGGAACTTCTGCTATTTATTTATGGCACAGATTATTTTCGAAACTACAAGTAGATTATAATACAATCTAAAAAACCATCTCTTAATGTTCAATCCGACTCCCTGAGGGCCAAACGCTTTGTTTAGACATTTTTATGTAAATTTTGATATACTGTTAAAATCAACTACAGCAAATAAAATATATCACTTGAGAATGAGATCATGTCGATCTCGAAACGTCGTAATTTTTTGTCTTTGTCGTTTATTTTATTAGTTAGATTATAAAAGTCTATTTTTTTCTATTTTAATCAGAGAGTTCAGTCGAGTGAATGCGATGTGCAGTCGTGCATTTCACGTTTATAATTGAACATATCAGAACATCAAAACATCAAGGTTAAGAAGAAAAGATTAATTAAAGGGGGCTGTTCTTATCGAGCTGTCGCCTAAAAAAATGAAGTTAGTAGATAATGAAGATGATAATTTTGTACAACTATGATATACCTTAACTTTGCTAGCTACTGAAGCAATCTACAGCATACAATGTTTAAACAATAAAACTGCAAGAGAATGAGTGCAAGAAAGTCCACAAATATGCCTTATGCATCACTTTTTCAGTAATCATTGCCTTAGACTTCAAATTATTAAAAAGCCTTGTGCTTTATCAGGACTAAAATATCAAGATCTCAGTATTGTAGTCTGAAATGAATGCCAAGTAATGTTTTAGCTCTAAAAATACGAGTTAYAAAATGAATCCTCAAGTTGTTGAGCATTATTGTTGCTGTTTAAGTTTAGCGTCATTGTTTCTCGTTTCTCATGAGCCTATCAACATTCTAATATTTGTTGCSATGGATTTTTAATTTGTTCAACTTGTTGCCAGTTCATATATATAGACACGGTTCAATGCGATAAACATCGTCTCCAAAACTTATTACAGTAACAATGTTGCGCTACAAGTTGAACGGTTTTGTGTTTCTCGGCCTGAAGGCTACGTATTGGTTAAATTACCAACTGTTAATTAGGAACGAGAGACAGTTTCTGCCTCCCATTGACATCTTACAGACAGCAGATTGGACACATATACACTCCCACAGACTCTAATTTAGTTTTTATGTTGAATTGCACGGTGCGTCTTATGCATTTAGAATAATGTGAAGTAGAATGAATATCTTTGAGTGTCATTATGTTGTAATCGCAGAAAAAGAAACGATGAAAAATCTGCAAAAGTAGATCTAGGACATCGAATAGATTCGGTGCAAACACAGTTCTAGACGATTTGATAGATAAATTTTATTTAGCTATAAAACACTTTCTTTTTTACTATAAAAAGTTTCAAAAGTACTGTTAGTGGAGGTCATCAATTACAACGATATATAGAAATAAACGCTACAATACAACGAAGGTCTCGGCTGGACCACGAGACACGCCTATCSGTMAGAAAACATTCCAACCCTTCGGCCTTTTGATTGTCCAGCTCTCCCACGAACGTGAGCTTATGTTTCATTTTGAGTTTTCGCTTTCTTTAATAAGAGAGCAGGATTCCCCAGGGGYTCGACGCGCTGCAATGTCTTTCTCAGCATTAGGCTTACTAGGAATTTTTCATTGAAGCTATTGAGAAACAGATGAGTGGGTCAGCCTGCACGATCAAGTGTTCTAGAATGTTTATTCGGGAGATTGCGAGACAACCTTGAATTATGTGAGTATTTATACTCTAGGGAACGAGTTTTGTGAATATTTGGACTTATTTAGAGCGCAAACCGCTAAATATGAAAAAGTATTGACTAAACAAAGTTAAATAGCGCTGTAATATAATTAGACAATAGAGAAAACAAAGAAAATTGTAGTAATTCAGAACAATCTAGCACTATTTATAATTAGTTCGTTAAATATTTCATGGTTTTAGAGTGCAAACGCTGGAACCGTGAAAAAGTATTAACAAAATAGAGCATAATAGGACAATAGAAAACAAATTAGGGATTTCCACAGTCAGTGAATTCTGTAGAATTAATGTTACATAATTTAATTACTTTTCATAGCTTTAGTGTTTGTAACTGTAGATTGTCTAGTGTTTGTACAATCTTTTGTGCAATATTATGCTAGAAGTATAGAAACACCGTTTTATCATAGTTGCAAGTCCTCCAGAAAAAAAATTGAGTTATATATTCATCAGTTTGTGAACTTTTGATTCCCGTAAGAAACAAAGAAAGAATTGTYAACATCGTATAAATACAAGACCAGGGTTGAGACGTAGATCTTTTGCCGCGTCTCTATCTAATTGCTTGCATGTACTGCGCAAGAAGATTGCAGGAGTCTAAATCAATTGACATTTGTCAAATGCAATAAGTTCATCCAACTTAACAAAATCTATCAAAGACGTTAATAAATTCATGGAGTACAAGATGCTAATAAACTCAACTCCAGTAATAGATTTGACGCGACAGAAGATCGACGTCTGAAACCTAATGCAGCCATGTTAAGACGGCAGATCTAAAAAAAAAACAACAAAGGTCCCATAATATACACTCGCTGAGAACTATTCAAGAGTTTTTTTAATGCCAAGTTCAGCTACGTAAGTCAAATGCGCGTTTTGTCACGTTTTTAATTATGGGTCTGGTTGTTCGTCAGTTGGATAAATTATGCACTCTTTGGATTCGTAATGATTTTATCCACCGGGAAAGCCGCCCTTCTAACAACCGGCCACTAAATTTCGCTCGCGACCTTAAATGACAACACAATTATGCTCTACAAAGTATGTTATAGYATATAATGACAATTTGATGAGTTTTTAATTGATAATGTAGATCAATAAATTAACATTAATTTAAAATTTGATTTTCTACCGCGCAATGCAAGATTTCCCATATTAAATATGGTTAATAACAGGCCTCGTTTTAATATGCTAGTTTATTTACATAGCGCGCGCTATCCATTCGAGAATATATATAATGTGCGCTGTGATTGGTCGAGAGAACCTCTTTAGAATGATACCTCAAAGTTGATAAAATAAGTAACAAAATTGCAATAGCCGACTCCTTTGCATGGCTCTCTCTTTCTTTCTACTGTTAGGCTTCCTGTCTTCATTGATATGGTCGAGGAGACTGTGACATAAGGCCCTCGTTCGGCCAAGAGGATACAAAAAGTATCCAAGTAATTTCTTAGAAGGGAAAAATGAAGTGTTGCCTGCGAGGGACCAGCATAATACATCTTTTTAATCCTATAATACTAAATTCTATATCCGTGTGTTTGTCTTATTTTTATGTATATAAAGAGAGCCGTCGATTAGCGCTCTATATGGAAGCTTATATCACTCTTATATGATGCTGAATCATCTCTAAAATATTTTTCTGAAATGCTGCCAATTTAATTAGTTTTTTTTTATTTTTACATACTACGAAAATCTAGTTTCCTTCAGTTTTATATTGCGCAGAAATCGAGCGAAGTCATACTTTTTTTTCACTACTGATACAGGGTATTTCCATAAAAAAACAACAGCAACAACTGGCAGCTAGCTTTTCTACGATTTCAAAATGGCGTCCTGTGACGTCATGCTTGAGAAAATAGAGCAACCTGGGGACGAGGAAGTCCCAGCGTAGAAATAGCAAGCTATTTATAGATAAAACTTCCTTTTCACGGAAAGCGACCAAATAAGCCGTCATCACAGCATGAGCGTTTATCAAATAATGTTAAATAATACATAAACAGTCGTATATAATCAACATTTGAAGTGGCTCAAGTAGACCGTTTTAGCTGATAGTATGCCTCAAAGATGACCACAACTCAAAGCTTCGTCTAGTCTGGCTTTGCGAAAGCAAAGAGCGTCTAAATACTGCGCAGAATTTCATGAACTCGAAAAATTATACATGGGCGTATTGAGATGGATTCACGGCGTGTACGCTACCCTCGTTTTGTGTGCATTGATGATTTCATAGGCGCAACTGATAATACTTGCGTAAAATAGCGTTAAACGACTTTGAGGATGACGGAAATTAATTACGCATAAAAGAAGTCCTACTTAATTACCTAATTAACGTAAGCGAACGGAACTCTGACGAGGTGAGATAAATGCGGAATATTATAGCAATTCTTTGTGCATTCGGAACTATAGGTATAATAGAGATTTGGTAGGATCAAACGTAAGCGTTACTTCCTTACGGAAACAGACCTGCGTAAATAGTAGCGTCAGAACTAATTTGACGCATTGCCTGAAATTCTACCTGAGAATAGCAGSTCTGTCATAGTAATCATTTCAATYCCGAAGACTTGACACCTGTCACTCTATWTGCCGACTAAAACTGATGACATTCCGTTTATTAAGTCRCGACGCAATCACATCCGCCCTTGTTTAAATGGTAGGCATAATATTTGCTATTATGATTTCAAATTTAACAACAAATTTTCCTTTGCTCTCATTGGTTGAGGAGTCAACCACGTGACGCGATAGTGCCTGCGCCGGAGAGCTGCTATCAGCGCAGTTGTTGAAAACAATTTTTTTAGGTTCATTTTTGAATGGTATTTATATTCATTATAAACTTTTTCATCTGTTAGCATTGGTATGTCATTTCTTATTGATGTATTTTTATATATTTGTACCCTTTTTTAAAATGGTTGAATAAAATTGTGCAATTTGATTGGATTAGAGGAGTGGTATTTATCCTTATTAGTGGTAATTCAAATTGCACAATTTTATTCAACCATTTTATAGACAAATAAAAGCATGCTTTGTACATGGAATTTTGAATGAATTCCACTTGTGATATTTCAAAATTGTCACAAATTTTACTCGCTTCGCTCGTGAAATTGTGTTGTACAATTTTGAGACATCACGCGTGGTATTTAACTCGAATACCACTACAAAACATGCTATTGCCTATACAAATACTCTGTTTTCGAGGACAACTTGATATTCGTTAGCAAGTTCCGTTTTAATTTTTTTTTTAATTTGCGGAAATCTTCGAGTGGCAAACCAGACTCCGCCTTTGTCATCCAAAGTCATACGTATTTCATGATTTTATTGATATTAGATAAGTAAAAAAACCCACAAAACATTAATTTTTATCAAATACTTAACAATATGAACAACATTGAGCTCATAATTAAGGATGTTAGCTCAACTTTAGACCCATAAAATGTAAARTAATGTCATATTCTCAATTTATATCAGGTTATAATTTATATATGTTTGCATGTTACATTTGTTTTTAAGACATTTTCTGATAATCATTTTATCTTGTGCAATTTCCGAAATCATTACATAAAGTAAGCTTTTAGAATTAATCCCCAACCAAGATGGCCGCCATCGTCGAACTATGCCATTATTAGCCCTTCAGTAGCTAATTTTGCGGTTTTCCTTTCTRTTTTTACGTTGTTTCGTTGGTTTAGTCTCCATATTTTAGCTTCTATTTCAAAATATATCATTCAGTATCAATTTACTAAGTGKTTTGGATAGTGAAACTTCAAGCTTTAAGTGATCCATTTGATAACGTGGACCACCCTTGTCGACGGACTGATATGAATGACTTGGCACACACCGGAGTCAAATTGTCCAACGCCTACGTACTTAAAACAAACGCTTTTCAAAATATTTACACTTTTGCTCAACTGATCTGTTATTTATTTCTATTCTTGTGGTTAAGCAATCACCTAAAAGGAACTTAATTCTTTGCTTAATAAAACCACCCACTCAAAGGAAGATCTCATTGTTCGACTACGTCTTTTGGTGGACTCTTTCTTAGTTAAAGATTCATAGTTTGAGGGTTGGGAAACTGCGCTAAAAACATTCCTATATTTTAATTCRGTAAAGCTTGAAGTCGAAAATCTAAAGATAAAGACCTCCAAGTATAAAGAAAGGTACGAAATATTATAAATTTTATTATTTGTGTGAGAAAATTGTCGTGAAAAAAATGATTTAAATATTATTTTCAATCATGAATTAAAAGCATTCATACATTTTATGCTATTTCTAGTCCTTATAAACACATAAAGATGTAGAAAAAAATATGTATTTTTGTGTATAAATATTACATCTTTATAAGCCAATGGCCGTTTTTTTTTTCCAATAATATAATATATCAAACATCGTATCAAGCGAAAATACATATCTTTAAATCCACGATCATATAATTTGCTTTTGCAGAAATTTAGGGTATTAAGAATTAAATCTCTTATATTTTTTTAATCAAAATATTATTGTATTATTTTCAAGACTTGTACGAAATATAACATTCTTTCGAAGAAGTCACCGTCAAGATGCAAAAATACGCGAATAAATATGATATTTGTAAAATAAAAACTCGTTTAATTTGTCATCAAGTTGTAGAATATGCTGAAGAACCCTACATTGGCATTATTTCCAATAGTTTAATTATGATTTTCTAGCTTATAAGCTCATTCAATAATCCAGTTTCGAATTCTCCAATGCTCTGTGTTAGCCTCATTTGTGCGCAAAATATTCCTAATTGTGAGAATAAAAGTGAGATTTCAAATCAATTCTATTGTCTTTCTTTTCTATCACTAAAACAAAAGAATATGTTGCTTGGTTTTGAGGCTAACACAGAGCAAACCAGAATTCGAAATTGGAGTATTCTAAAAGAGCGAAATTCAGTTGAAATTACCCATAATTCACTCGATATTGCATACAGGATTTGGTTATGGCGCTGGTCGTCAGACTTTTAGAAAATGGGTGCAACATAGTTACATACGGAATATATCTTCAACACTAAAGATTTAATTTTATTGATGTAGAAAATATTAGGGAATGTTAWTTTTGTTTATTTAGCAAGATAATGATTAAATTGACTCTTATTTTATTTGTTTTTTTGGATGTGATTCTTGTCAAACTCCCAGCGGATATTTCCCTTATAAATTAGCAAAAATGCGATTATGTTGAATAATATCTATAACTTATTAATTAGATGGCTAAAGACTCAAGCGAAAAATCTCTCTTTTTATGATTCGCACAATCTCTTTTAAAAACATTTTCGTGTTATTGATATCCGTACAAGTGYACAGAGCTAATTGTTATCTTGTTACTCATGATACCATCTTACCTATGAACTTACGATCTATGATAACCAGTTATCGCGTCTGACTCAAATCAAACAACAAGACCGTTGTTTGGATTATGACGTTTTACGTACATATCGAACCGTTATTAGTCGCACGGGTGGTCCGTCGGTAGCGCTACCTTCGTTACAACTGTACTAGCTTTGGGGCATTGGTTTTAGGCCGATTTTGCAAGAAAAAGAAGGCAATTTGTGTGTAATTTCAAAGAGTAATTGGAAGTCTGAATAGGTAAGACAGTAAGATACAAGTAAAAATGTTTTGTGGGCGCCTATAAAGAATTCCAATGCTAAGCATCGAGAACGATATGTCCGCCGGTGAAAATGTCAGTACTTAGTAGTGAAAAGTAAACCATGACATTTCTCTTAGTGCTTTTTATGACAAGTTTATAGTTAAATGTTATTCACAGTGAAGAAGATTCTTGTTGAATCAAAATAACACAGAATACTTTGCGTTTGAATTTAAGTAATTGCGTGCGTTATACACATTTTTCAGTACGTAAGATCAACAGTGTGCAAGGTCTATTGCTTTCCCAAAGAGTATATTTCTTTGCGTTTATTCTACGCAAATGCTTATCTTCTAACGTAAAATCCAAATACAGTATCAATAATGATCATAAAATTCTTGTTGAATGAATATAATACAGGGAATTTTGCGTTTGAATTTATGTTTACGTACGTAATTTCTTGCGTAATATATACATATTTTACGTAAAATCCACAGCTTGGAGCATTATATTTCTTTGCGGCTTCTAGACAAATCTAAAATATTAATCATACAAACAGTAAAAGAGATTTCTCTATTCATAAATACTAGCCATTGTCTTTTCCGTTCACCTGTATACCAGAATATTGTTACGTCTGGTCTATTTTCCTGCGCGGTTTTCTATTGAAATGCTTTTTATAGCCAATTACTTGTGTCTGCCTCACTACTTTTAGGCAAAAGCCACACAGACAGTTGCTTCAGTATTTTCTCTCGGAATGAAAAACCTTTTTTTGAATTACGTCTGTCGGGTCTGTCAAGAAAGTTATTGATAGCGTATCTCGTGCGTCAGTTAAAGAGCTTAAACTAAGATCGCGTGTCTGGTTTAAACACAGGTTCATATTCTTTYATTAAAGTAATTAACGTTGATATTGACATTGGGATAAGAGATATCAACAGTAATTAAATAAATATGATTGTATGTTATATACAGTTTTAGAAAATCGAAAGAAGTTCAAATTCGCGCGTCAGAAATCATTAGGTGGTGATATTACCACACCTCGACTTCTATCCAGAAAGCCTAAGTATAGGTTTTCTTTCAATTTTATTTTCCCTCTACTAAATTCATGCTTCTGTTAAAGGCTGATTAGCAGATATAATTACTCTTATTATAAACAGACCTACATATATAGCACTTGTTATCCTAACTAGATATAGTGTTAAAACGGTTAGATTATGCTGAGTCTGTAAGGGATAATAATTAGGCTTATGAAAACTTGTCTTGTTTTATGAAGAATTCATACTCAAATTCTAAAACTCAATAAATAAATAACTAATTTCTTTGATAGTAAAATTACCAACGAATCACGTAAACCGTTATATTTGATCCCACATCGGCTCTGGCTTTCAGGGTTTTTAAGCGCATACTTGTTACCCACGCATGAGGGAAGAAAACTAAGTAGAAAAGTGCTCATATTGGCTCCCACATATATACTAAAGATCCTTACGTTAAAAAACTTAATTAACGGTTAATTTGTGTCCTTTCAAAGCAAGCCAATTACTATAGTCGACGCCTGAAWTATTGACCAAAGAGAGAAGAAAGCAGCCACGTGTCAATGGCATGCGCGCCTGCTTCGTGTAATTTTTCAATACGTGTTAGAAATGTAAGGCGGAGACGTCTTACGAAATGTCTTACGTCCCCCGAATGCTGTCGTCCGTTTTCTAGGGTTTTGCACGAAAGGGTGCCAGTCCTGGCAACGAGGTAGAAAAGACGCTCCGGCATCTACAGGTCATTTATCTACAGCACTGATATAGAATATTTGATTGCAAACAAGAGATAGAATGAGTAAGAATCAAAAATGTCAGTGCTGTAACATGTATGACTAGCATTTTATACGAAGTTTGTCATGTAAATTTAGGTAATGAAAGCGCCCTATACCAATGTTTTTTTGTTTTTTTTTTCCCGATACAATTACATCATATTTTTTTAAAAAAGGTTGTAAATTTGATGTAAATATGATGTAATTGTCCAAAATGATGTAAATTTGATGTAAAAAAAAAAAAAAATACATCCTTTTAAAGCGCGCGATCTTTTTCAGGGAGAGTCGTTTTTAGGATAAAATTTTACATTCAGGACTTATTCAACTATTTTATTGTATCGGAAAAAAAAAAAACAAAAAAAAAAACAACAAAAAACATTGGTATAGGGCGCTGCTCCAGGACATTCGTTTAGGAAAAAACTTCACATTCAGAAGGACTTATTCAATTTTTTATCGCCTTTATTTCCATCCTAGTCAGTATATATTTTACTTCTCTATGACAAATAGTTAAATGTTTATGTCTGACGAATGGTTCCTTTCGCCACTGATCGATGAAAAAAGTTTTTAGAGAGAGACATTCCACACTTTTGAAGAGCTCTTACTTTCGTCCTGGCATAGCTACTAGTATCCTGAAGCGCCCCCGAGATTAATTATGCCTATTTAGTCATTTTGTATATATATATACAAATGTATTATTCTCTTGCATTGAATACGTTGGTAAATTAAACAAATCTTCATAATTTTTCTTTTAATTCTCACTCCAAACTAAATGTTTGGAAATCATTATCACACACATCGCAACCACGTGGTCGTTAATTTAGACTATAAGATTTCAAAATATGTGCTTAGAATGTCAAATTAAAGCTTAATGTGAGGGTGTTTTCCGTTACAAGAACAATGGAAACGTTAAAATTGATGCGGAAACGCAACGTACACAACCGACATATCTGTAATGACTGGAAATACATACGTTTATTCTGAGTAAACATGCGGGAACCTACCCATAAGCGACGTATAAGTGACAATAGCGAGAGGTTTAATTGTACGGAAACGTAACGGAAACACGTACAGCACACTGGGAATGTGTCTCTCAAATTAGCTCTAGACACTAAATTAAACTTGTGCGGGAAGTTTGCCGAGAAGTTAAAAGGAAAACAGTACGTACAGTTTGTACGTAAACGTAAGGAAACTGTACGGATGTGCACTAGTACTGAAATTTCTGAATTTTCAGAAGTGTTTTTGGTTTAGTACTAAATTGATTTTTTTTCTGTTTCCTTTGCACTCCATTTCTTGAACAACAGCACATTTTCAATAGTAAAATTTGTCCTTAACAGCGCTCAGTTACTGCTCAAGTGCAGATGGAGTCTTTCTGCTTAAAGAATCTTCTAAAACATTCATTAGTGCTTACACGTTATAATGGCCGACACTTAAGATTGTTTATACTACAAATATTTTTTCAAGAATTGTCCATTTACAAAGGCAAAACGTTTTTTTGTGTACTTCATGAATCAAATCATCTTTCATCTCAGTCGGAAATACTCGGAAGCAGTCGGAAGAGGAAACGAATACTCGGCCCAAGAAAACTAGACACAATCGGAAGCTGAAAGATGTGCGCGTCCAGTCCTATTCCGTTCAATGATTTTCTTTTTATAGAAGCATATTCTACCTTCATTCCCCTCCATCAAATCGAGTCGTCTGGGCAACACTACTTTACATTCAAAACAACGGATACTGATGCTCAGTTCAATCTGAGACGCTCGGCAATGACGTGACATAATCTCGTGTTGACGTCATGACACGTTACGTATGAAAAACTCTTATCAAATTCGAGTATAGTTTTGCTTTCAATTGCTCGGTGCACTTTAGACAGTCTACTGACGCTGACTTTGTGATTTGTTTTCAGATCTTTAATTCCATCCARCCATGCTTCTTAGAATTCTTACATCACTATGCGTGGTGTCACTTCTGTTTGTGAATAGTGCTCAAGCCAAGAGATTCGATTATAAATTTTGTATAGAACGTAGTAGCTTCATCCACCTTATTGAAAAGGAATGTAATACATTACGGATCAAAAAATCACTTCAAGGTAAGATTCAAAGTAAAAACGAAACGTTTTATTGTAATTATATCATATTACTTTAATAGACAACCTTGATATTACAAAGTTTTCAGATAAAATTGGGTATTGGGGTGGGGTAGGGTTGGGAATTGAAAACTCGTTTGAAATGTCTGAGATTAGAGCATGTTTGATGCTTCAAAGGTGAGCGTTGTCGCTGAAAAAGAGCTGAAGCTTATACACTGATGCGACGAATGATACTCAAAGTACACGTGCTTTTGATAATGCTAATCTTCGCAATAAAAGCGCAAATGAAGAGAGTCTATCGAGTTTTAAAATTGAATTCATTGAGCTGAAGCATAAGAAGTCAGTTTGGCTTTTAGGATAATATTTCGACAGTTAGAGTGAAGTCAAAAACCGGTGAAATATATGTATTACACACTGACATATAAGCTTAGTGTCAAAGTTTTGTTTCACGGGTTTAATGATTTTACTCTAATAAACACTATTTACTAGTAATTCGGGACATTGTTTCACGGATTAAGTTCGCACACTCTATTTCAAAGACATTGAATCCTGTGAAACTTTATAGTAAATTCCGATAAGTTGTCATGAAAATGCATTGTTGTTCGCGCGGAGCTGCTGAGCCAAGGCGTCGCGTCTCTAGTGTTTCAGTTTGACTATTAAGTGATCGATCTGATACAGCATTGGCCTTCAAATTCGATGGGAAGCAATTCAGGTCAGAATAGTCTCCTTCACGGTTCCCTGCGGAATTTTGAAAAGTAGCCGTGCCTTTTTTGCATCAAGGCGGGACAACCGTTGAGCGTGCAATGATATAGATTCCTGTACGTGAATAATTGTCTGTAGGTGTGAAAGAAGATTTATATTGCACTCTCAACGGTCGTCTCGCTTCGATGCAAAGGCACGGCTACACGTTTCAAAATGGCACACGGACACAGGGAACCCAGAAAGCGACTATCATATAATTTTGTGCAATGCGTTGAGTGAAATAGCCATAATGCATTCTGGTCTTGGAGCTCATCTTTAGTATCACATAGTACGTTAATAGTCAATCGAACAAAGGAGGACGATTGTCTTATGATCTGCACTAATCATTTGTTTAGTGCTTGTCACTCTCTTAGTGTTTGCACTCTAGCCCAACCTCGTACCCAGGGCTATCTCTACCTCGCTATTTACAAAATGGCGGACGTGACTCTAGCCTCTTAGGGACTGCGCAATATTTAACAGGGTGGGACTGGAGGGGGGAGGGGGGGTGTGAGAATCTAGAAGGGATGGCAACATCTAATTTTATGTGCTTAAAGAGGGGGGGGGGGGGGGGGGGTTAATATTAACTAGAACTTTAATTGGAAACTGAAACATTAACGCCGGTGTAATGTTCGAAAACTTCTCAAAAAAAGCGTGCTACGATTTGCGACAAGTCTTTATTTACAAACAATAAATAAATAAATTCACGGGAAGGAGGTGAAAGGGAGGGGGGCAGAACGCAATTTATTTCGTTTGCGAGGGTGGGGGTAGTAATTTTAAGTTAATTTTTTTTGTGATTTTTTGGCTCATTACTCAGCTCCCCCCTCTCCTGATAAATATGCGCAGTCCCTTAGTTATATGGATAATTTTTCATTAATCGTTAAGGAAAATAGCTTGCATGTTGGACTCCCTGTGTTATAGCGTACATATCTGTTGTATTTTTACAGCTAGCCCTGTCCAACGAAGAGAAGTGGCTACAAGTTTCTTATTCAATAGGTTCTTCAATAAACGATATCAAAATAGCGAACCTTCAAGAATAACCACATACCAYGAAGARTGCTGTCACGAGGGATGTACAAGTGAAGAAATTTATGAATACTGCTGACCGCAGACATCGACGTCTCAAGCAGAGCTCTAACAAAGGAATCCCAACAATAATATTGTAAATTCTCTAACGCTCGAAATAAGACTTCCTCAATATAATTGTGCATTTGTTTGAAGAAATCGTCGACAATGAGCTTAAAAAGATAAAAACAGTCATAGTCATGGATGTTAAATATTCTTTCGTAGAAATGAAGTAGTTTTTCTGTAAAAATCGCATTTGAATAGGCAATGTGCAGCGACGCCATTTTGTGCAGCAAAGGATGACGGTAGTTATAGTCCTCGTACTTTTTTATGTCTAAAAACAGTCCTGCTAACCAGTTTTTACTTTTTCTAAGCAAAAATAGAAGTATTTGTGCCGCTTCTTAAAAGAAAATGTAAAAACTTTTAAGTAGATTTTAGGGGCTATGAAAAGTACGTGGACTAACAACTACCATCATGCTTTTCAGCACAAAATGGCGTCTCCGCACAAGTTTTCGTCGTCATAACGACTATGTTGGAGCAATGGACGCCTAATGTATAATATGACTATTTTTGACTTGTCAATCATTCGCAATTAAATCAAACGACAATAAATAGAGCCATTAAAATGAAAAATAAAGCATTGTATAGATTGTAACTTGAATATTTCCTGTCTTTACTGTCATCATATGTGATCCATGATAAGTAGGCAATAAAGAACAGAAGGAAAAAATGAAACAAAAACATAAAGTCGATGAAAAAATCATTTTTTATGCATTTATTTTATCAAGAACAATCTTAAGTGTTTGCTTGCTTTACTGTAGTCCATGTGTAGTCAATGACGAACTCGCTAGATAACCAATCGGACAGCACGTAGTTATTTCATTAACTCGCTGCTATATTTTAAACAATTTCAATTCTGATAGAACAGCGCAAAGTTGTGGACAATTTTCTATTTTCTTCCCTCAAACTTTACATAAAACCAGCATTTTGTATCAAATTCTCCCTTGTCACGCAATGCTTGCGTGATGACGAGTACGCAGTACGCTTGCGTTATTATTATTCGTTCCCAGTCGTCCCATAAGTCACGGTCTTGTGTTGTTATTTGGAGCCAGTTACCTGCTGACACAGTGAATCCTACTCAAAAACTGATTTATTTTATTGCTTTTCTTAACCATCTGGCTTTATATCTACTATACAAGACCATCAAGTTTATCACGACATATTTGTGTGCAATATTGTTTTATAAGTGCTGAGGGAAGACTATTTGTTCTGGCGGGAAATTCCGGTGTGTTTGGTAGCNCAAGCGAAAAATCTCTCTTTTTATGATTCGCACAATCTCTTTTAAAAACATTTTCGTGTTATTGATATCCGTACAAGTGCACAGAGCTAATTGTTATCTTGTTACTCATGATACCATCTTACCTATGAACTTACGATCTATGATAACCAGTTATCGCGTCTGACTCAAATCAAACAACAAGACCGTTGTTTGGATTATGACGTTTTACGTACAGTATAGAACCGTTATTAGTCGCACGGGTGGTCCGTCGGTAGCGCTATCTTCGTTACAACTGTACTAGTTTTGGGGCATTGGTTGTAGGCCGATTTTGCAAGGAAAAGAAGGAAATTTGTGTGTAATTTTAAAGAGTTGTAGTTGGAAGTCTGAATAGGTAAGACAGTAAGGTACAAGTAAAAATGTTTTGTGGGCGCCTAAAGAATTCAAATGCTATCGCATCGAGAACGATATGTCCGTGAAAATGTCAGTAGTAGTGAAAGTAAACCATGACATTTCTTTTAGTGCTTTTTATGACAAGTTTATAGTCAAATGTTATTCATAGTGAAGAAAATTCTTGTTGAATCTAAATAACACAGAATACTTTGCGTTGGATTTAAGTAATTGCGTGCGTTATATACATTTTTCAGTACGTAAGATCAACAGTGTGCAAGGTCTATTGCTTTCCCAAAGAGTATATTTCTTTGCGTTTATTCTACGCAAATGCTTATCTTCTAACGTAGAATCCAAATACAGTATCAATAATGATCGTAAGATTAATTGTTGAAAGAATATAATACAGGGAATTTTGCGTTTGAATTTATGTTTACGTACGTAATTTCTTGCGTAATATATACATATTTTACGTAAAATCCACAGCGAGGGTTACATGTATTCCCTTCGCTTGGAGTATTATATTTCTTTGCGGCTTCTAGACAAATCTAAAATATTAATCATACAAACAGTAAAAGAGATTTCTCTATTCATAAATACCAGCCATTGTCTTTCCCGTTCACCTGTATACCAGAATATTGTTACGTCTGGTCTATTTTCCTGCGCGGTTTTCTATTGAAATGCTTTTTATAGCCAATTGCTTGTGTCTGCCTCACTACTTTTAGGCAAAAGCCACACAGGCAGTTGCTTCAGTATTTTCTCTCGGCATGAAAAACCTTTTTTGGAATTACGTCTGTCGGGTCTGTCAAGAAAGTTATTGATAGCGTATCTCGTGCGTCAGTTAAAGAGCTTAAACTAAGATCGCGTGTCTGGTTTAAACACAGGTTCATATTCTTTCATTAAAGTAATTAACGTTGATATTGACATTGGGATAAGAGATATCAACAGTAATTAAATAAATATGATTGTATGTTATATACAGTTTTAGAAAATCGAAAGAAGTTCAAATTCGCTCGTCAGAAATCATTTGGTGTTAATAGTGTTACCACACCTCGACTTCTATCCATAAAGCTATAGGTTTTCTTTCAATTTAATTTTCTTTCTACTAAATTCATGCTTCCGTGAAAGGCTGATTAGCAGATATAATTACAGTTATTATAAACAGACCTACATGTATAGCACTTGTTATCCTAACTAGATATAGTGTTAAAAACGGTTAAGATTATGCTGTCTGTAAGGGATAATAATTAGGCTTATGAAAACCTGTCTTGTTTTATGAAGAATTCATACTCAAATTCTAAAACTCAATMAATAAATAACTAATTTCTTTGATAGTAAAATTACCAACGAATCACGTAAACCGTTATATTTGATCCCACATCGGCTCTGGCTTTCAGGGTTTTTAAGCGCATACTTGTTACCCACGCATGAGGGAAGAAAACTAAGTAGAAAAGTGCTCATATTGGCTCCCACATATATACTAAAGATCCTTACGTTAAAAAACTTAATTAACGGTTAATTTGTGTCCTTTCAAAGCAAGCCAATTACTATAGTCGACGCCTGAAWTATTGACCAAAGAGAGAAGAAAGCAGCCACGTGTCAATGGCATGCGCGCCTGCTTCGTGTAATTTTTCAATACGTGTTAGAAATGTAAGGCGGAGACGTCTTACGAAATTGAGTGTCTTACGTCCCCCGAATGCTGTCGTCCGTTTTCGAGGGTTTTGCACGAAAGGGTGCCAGTCCTGGCAACGAGGTAGAAAAGACGCTCCGGCATCTACAGGTCATTTATCTACAGCACTGATATAGAATATTTGATTGCAAACAAGAGATAGAATGAGTAAGAATCAAAAATGTCAGTGCTGTAACATGTATGACTAGCATTTTATACGAAGTTTGTCATGTAAATTTAGGTAATGAAAGCGCCCTATACCAATGTTTTTTTGTTTTTTTTTTCCCGATACAATTACATCATATTTTTTTAAAAAAGGTTGTAAATTTGATGTAAATATGATGTAATTGTCCAAAATGATGTAAATTTGATGTAAAAAAAAAAAAAAATACATCCTTTTAAAGCGCGCGATCTTTTTCAGGGAGAGTCGTTTTTAGGATAAAATTTTACATTCAGGACTTATTCAACTATTTTATTGTATCGGAAAAAAAAAAAACAAAAAAAAAAACAACAAAAAACATTGGTATAGGGCGCTGCTCCAGGACATTCGTTTAGGAAAAAACTTCACATTCAGAAGGACTTATTCAATTTTTTATCGCCTTTATTTCCATCCTAGTCAGTATATATTTTACTTCTCTATGACAAATAGTTAAATGTTTATGTCTGACGAATGGTTCCTTTCGCCACTGATCGATGAAAAAAGTTTTTAGAGAGAGACATTCCACACTTTTGAAGAGCTCTTACTTTCGTCCTGGCATAGCTACTAGTATCCTGAAGCGCCCCCGAGATTAATTATGCCTATTTAGTCATTTTGTATATATATATACAAATGTATTATTCTCTTGCATTGAATACGTTGGTAAATTAAACAAATCTTCATAATTTTTCTTTTAATTCTCACTCCAAACTAAATGTTTGGAAATCATTATCACACACATCGCAACCACGTGGTCGTTAATTTAGACTATAAGATTTCAAAATATGTGCTTAGAATGTCAAATTAAAGCTTAATGTGAGGGTGTTTTCCGTTACAAGAACAATGGAAACGTTAAAATTGATGCGGAAACGCAACGTACACAACCGACATATCTGTAATGACTGGAAATACATACGTTTATTCTGAGTAAACATGCGGGAACCTACCCATAAGCGACGTATAAGTGACAATAGCGAGAGGTTTAATTGTACGGAAACGTAACGGAAACACGTACAGCACACTGGGAATGTGTCTCTCAAATTAGCTCTAGACACTAAATTAAACTTGTGCGGGAAGTTTGCCGAGAAGTTAAAAGGAAAACAGTACGTACAGTTTGTACGTAAACGTAAGGAAACTGTACGGATGTGCACTAGTACTGAAATTTCTGAATTTTCAGAAGTGTTTTTGGTTTAGTACTAAATTGATTTTTTTTCTGTTTCCTTTGCACTCCATTTCTTGAACAACAGCACATTTTCAATTAAAATTTGTCCTTAACAGCGCTCAGTTACTGCTCAAGTGCAGACGGAGTCTTTCTGCCTAAAGAATCTTCTAAAACATTCATTAGTGCTTACACTTTATAATGGCCGACACTTAAGATTGTTTATACTACAAATATTTTTTCAAGAATTGTCCATTTACAAAGGCAAAACGTTTTTGTGTGTACTCATGAATCAAATCATCTTTCATCTCATTCGGAAATACTCGGAAGCAGTCGGAGAAGGAAACGAGTACTCGGCCCAAGAAAACTAGACACAATCGGAAGCTGAAAGATGTGCGCGTCCAGTCCTATTCCGTTCAATGATTTTCTTTTTATAGAAGCATATTCTACCTTGATTTCCCTCAATCAAATCGAGTCGTCTGGGCAACACTACTTTACATTCAAAACAACGGATACTGATGCTCAGTTCAATCTGAGACGCTCGGCAATGACGTGACATAATCTCGTGTTGACGTCATGACACGTTACGTATGAAAAACTCTTATCAAATTCGAGTATAGTTTTGCTTTCAATTGCTCGGTGCACTTTAGACAGTCTACTGACGCTGACTTTGTGATTTGTTTTCAGATCTTTAATTCCATCCAACCATGCTTCTTAGAATTCTTACATCACTATGCGTGGTGTCACTTCTGTTTGTGAATAGTGCTCAAGCCAAGAGATTCGATTATAAATTTTGTATAGAACGTAGTAGCTTCATCCACCTTATTGAAAAGGAATGTAATACATTACGGATCAAAAAATCACTTCAAGGTAAGATTCAAAGTAAAAACGAAACGTTTTATTGTAATTATATCATATTACTTTAATAGACAACCTTGATATTACAAAGTTTTCAGATAAAATTGGGTATTGGGGTGGGGTAGGGTTGGGAATTGAAAACTCGTTTGAAATGTCTGAGATTAGAGCATGTTTGATGCTTCAAAGGTGAGCGTTGTCGCTGAAAAAGAGCTGAAGCTTATACACTGATGCGACGAATGATACTCAAAGTACACGTGCTTTTGATAATGCTAATCTTCGCAATAAAAGCGCAAATGAAGAGAGTCTATCGAGTTTTAAAATTGAATTCATTGAGCTGAAGCATAAGAAGTCAGTTTGGCTTTTAGGATAATATTTCGACAGTTAGAGTGAAGTCAAAAACCGGTGAAATATATGTATTACACACTGACATATAAGCTTAGTGTCAAAGTTTTGTTTCACGGGTTTAATGATTTTACTCTAATAAACACTATTTACTAGTAATTCGGGACATTGTTTCACGGATTAAGTTCGCACACTCTATTTCAAAGACATTGAATCCTGTGAAACTTTATAGTAAATTCCGATAAGTTGTCATGAAAATGCATTGTTGTTCGCGCGGAGCTGCTGAGCCAAGGCGTCGCGTCTCTAGTGTTTCAGTTTGACTATTAAGTGATCGATCTGATACAGCATTGGCCTTCAAATTCGATGGGAAGCAATTCAGGTCAGAATAGTCTCCTTCACGGTTCCCTGCGGAATTTTGAAAAGTAGCCGTGCCTTTTTTGCATCAAGGCGGGACAACCGTTGAGCGTGCAATGATATAGATTCCTGTACGTGAATAATTGTCTGTAGGTGTGAAAGAAGATTTATATTGCACTCTCAACGGTCGTCTCGCTTCGATGCAAAGGCACGGCTACACGTTTCAAAATGGCACACGGACACAGGGAACCCAGAAAGCGACTATCATATAATTTTGTGCAATGCGTTGAGTGAAATAGCCATAATGCATTCTGGTCTTGGAGCTCATCTTTAGTATCACATAGTACGTTAATAGTCAATCGAACAAAGGAGGACGATTGTCTTATGATCTGCACTAATCATTTGTTTAGTGCTTGTCACTCTCTTAGTGTTTGCACTCTAGCCCAACCTCGTACCCAGGGCTATCTCTACCTCGCTATTTACAAAATGGCGGACGTGACTCTAGCCTCTTAGGGACTGCGCAATATTTAACAGGGTGGGACTGGAGGGGGGAGGGGGGGTGTGAGAATCTAGAAGGGATGGCAACATCTAATTTTATGTGCTTAAAGAGGGGGGGGGGGGGGGGGGGTTAATATTAACTAGAACTTTAATTGGAAACTGAAACATTAACGCCGGTGTAATGTTCGAAAACTTCTCAAAAAAAGCGTGCTACGATTTGCGACAAGTCTTTATTTACAAACAATAAATAAATAAATTCACGGGAAGGAGGTGAAAGGGAGGGGGGCAGAACGCAATTTATTTCGTTTGCGAGGGTGGGGGTAGTAATTTTAAGTTAATTTTTTTTGTGATTTTTTGGCTCATTACTCAGCTCCCCCCTCTCCTGATAAATATGCGCAGTCCCTTAGTTATATGGATAATTTTTCATTAATCGTTAAGGAAAATAGCTTGCATGTTGGACTCCCTGTGTTATAGCGTACATATCTGTTGTATTTTTACAGCTAGCCCTGTCCAACGAAGAGAAGTGGCTACAAGTTTCTTATTCAATAGGTTCTTCAATAAACGATATCAAAATAGCGAACCTTCAAGAATAACCACATACCAYGAAGARTGCTGTCACGAGGGATGTACAAGTGAAGAAATTTATGAATACTGCTGACCGCAGACATCGACGTCTCAAGCAGAGCTCTAACAAAGGAATCCCAACAATAATATTGTAAATTCTCTAACGCTCGAAATAAGACTTCCTCAATATAATTGTGCATTTGTTTGAAGAAATCGTCGACAATGAGCTTAAAAAGATAAAAACAGTCATAGTCATGGATGTTAAATATTCTTTCGTAGAAATGAAGTAGTTTTTCTGTAAAAATCGCATTTGAATAGGCAATGTGCAGCGACGCCATTTTGTGCAGCAAAGGATGACGGTAGTTATAGTCCTCGTACTTTTTTATGTCTAAAAACAGTCCTGCTAACCAGTTTTTACTTTTTCTAAGCAAAAATAGAAGTATTTGTGCCGCTTCTTAAAAGAAAATGTAAAAACTTTTAAGTAGATTTTAGGGGCTATGAAAAGTACGTGGACTAACAACTACCATCATGCTTTTCAGCACAAAATGGCGTCTCCGCACAAGTTTTCGTCGTCATAACGACTATGTTGGAGCAATGGACGCCTAATGTATAATATGACTATTTTTGACTTGTCAATCATTCGCAATTAAATCAAACGACAATAAATAGAGCCATTAAAATGAAAAATAAAGCATTGTATAGATTGTAACTTGAATATTTCCTGTCTTTACTGTCATCATATGTGATCCATGATAAGTAGGCAATAAAGAACAGAAGGAAAAAATGAAACAAAAACATAAAGTCGATGAAAAAATCATTTTTTATGCATTTATTTTATCAAGAACAATCTTAAGTGTTTGCTTGCTTTACTGTRGTCCATGTGTAGTCAATGACGAACTCGCTAGATAACCAATCGGACAGCACGTAGTTATTTCATTAACTCGCTGCTATATTTTAAACAATTTCAATTCTGATAGAACAGCGCAAAGTTGTGGACAATTTTCTATTTTCTTCCCTCAAACTTTACATAAAACCAGCATTTTGTATCAAATTCTCCCTTGTCACGCAATGCTTGCGTGATGACGAGTACGCAGTACGCTTGCGTTATTATTCGTTCCCAGTCGTCCCATAAGTCACGGTCTTGTGTTGTTATTTGGAGCCAGTTACCTGCTGACACTGTGGAAACGCTACTCAAAAACTGATTTATTTTATTGCTTTTCTTAACCATCTGGCTTTATATCTACTATACAAGACCATCAAGTTTATCACGACATATTTGTGTGCAATATTGTTTTATAAGTGCTGAGRGAAGACTATTTGTTCTGGCGGGAAATTCCGGTGTGTTTGGYAGCGAATGAAGTCTCAAAAGAGCAAGAAGACWGCTTTTGGATCTTTACCAAAGCGGTGCTTGACCGTTTAATATTGCTGTTCGGCAGCCCTTCARAGTATAAAGAATTCATTTGTCAAGCTGTGATTTTGGAATAATTCCTTCAATATATTTTGCAGAGGAAGAAGATGTTTGAAATACTTCCATGGTCATTCTGRMMAA